AGCCAAGGCATAGAATGAAGTCATTCTATAGTATCGCCGCTAATGAATAATGCATACCGTTTTAAGACTGCGTTTAATCTTGAAGAGAACATATCTAGGTAGCAAGTCCTGCAACAACAATACAAGCACCGCAAATTAATAACACCGCTGGAAACCTGCACTAATAATACGTTCACTGCGGGTTAACTTGGTTTGTGTAAAGCATAAAGTGGTAACTTTCTATTTTTAGGCAGATGATGGATAGATGCACCATCTACCGAAGCCTCTCTGATGGAACAACATATGAAAAGCTTTGGATTCCGCCATAGCGTCCAATGTACACCTAGTATACTTCGCTAGACCAGGAGCGCAAGAACGCTAGAGCTATTCCTAGTGACAAGCACAGCTGTGCCGACGTCAAAACGTCGAAACGCACGGATTCTTCACGGAGGCTGATCCCCCTTACGGTTAGATCGATTTAGATCTGTCTAGAACCAGACGGCTCGCATGTGCAATTCTGACGAACAGAATTCGCTGGATTCTCATAAGCTCCTGTCGCCGCTACCCTGTCTCGTAACTGCCTAATTCGTGAATGTAGGAGAACCGTACAGTTTGAAACACTGCGGGAGCCTGATTATTCCTGTGAGACAAGCTTTGGCGCAGTTTTTTTATCCAAAAATGTTAACAAAAATGAAGTCATAGAATCTCCAATGAATCTTCTCCTTATCATCAAGAAGAGCCTACTTTAGGCCCAAAAAATGTGAAATAACTTTATTGGTATAACCCCATACGAAGTTCACATTACCTTGATGGCGTACGTTTCACAGAAACCTCCATTTTCGGAGCCTGAAAGATGGAATCAATTTTTGGGGATTCAATTCTATCCTTTCGGATTCTGAAGAAGGCGATTTCGCCAAAACTTAAGTCATTAAGGTATTGTAAACCTCGTCTGAAGATATACCATTTGAGTTATTCAGTCAGTATGCCGAGATCTAGTGCCAACTCAAAGAAGGTGGTCACAAAAGCTTTCAATAGCGTCGAATCTCAACGTTCCTCAAACGGTCCCGGAGGAGTTTCTCTACACAGAAGCAAGGCCTGACTATGGAACACAGTATCGCACCTTGAATAGCTGTTGTCTATTTGAATCGAATCAAATAAATATCCTTACCAAGGGCGACAGTATCTTATGGGGGACACATAGCGTTTTTGTGATCGGCTCAGCTACCTTCTAATGCTCACTTTAATTCACTATCCATAGTCGAGCTAGTCAAACAATCTTCTCAGTGGAGTATCTGAATAAGTGCGAATTTCTCCTGAAACGCCTCGCTAAAGTTATCGCCACGACATCACCTATCCTTAAAAGCTTCATAACCACATCAGGGATCAATGAAAAAAGATGAGACCGATATGCACCTGATGTTCAGGTAAGAAAGTCTGTCATCTGCGATTCACCACTTATTTGTCACATGTAAAAATGATGTAATGTTATTAAGGATATGATGACTGAACCATTCGATCACGTCAGAAACGATTAGACTAGCATACGGTGAGCGCTACAAAACCTGCATCTGATGAATGAATCTTTCACTCCCTTGAAATTTTTTAGGCCCTGAATCCTACTGTGCTTCGCCGCTTAAAGGACATTTTTTTTCTGGAAAATACGTCTAAGGAGAAAAAGGTCGAAGCAATCGCTGTCAAATGCTAACCACCAAAAAATAAACAGCCAAATGAAGGTCATGGGGGCATTGCAACTGTGTGTGATGCACAGTTGTTGCGTATTACAGACCTGCAGAAGCTGCAATAATAGAAAAAGCTCACCAGTAAGGAGAGTGGATATACGAAGGGTTTTCAACAATAAGATCTTCAAAAAGAAAGTAAACCATACATGAGGCCAAAGAGTGGGCCAAGCATACTAATTGGAGACATGATAGTTGCTCATCGGGCGGAAATTGTGAAGTGGCAAGGGGCCCACTATCACACACGTATTGCCACGGGTTCGAATCTCGGATCGATATCCGCTTAAGCCAACCAAGCCTTCGATTTCTCC